ATAGCACGGCAGGAGATTCTGGCTCCCTCTCGTACTGCAGGGGGATAAGGTATTGACAATCGGATGCTTCAGGATTGACCGTGCGATGCAAGCGGCGTTGTGTCATGTTTCTGAGGCCCCCCAATGCCGCACTTGCAGATGTTGCGCACGCGTGCCCCGCTCTTTCGCAAGCGGTTGCTTCAGATTGACCATACGATATAAATGGCTTTGTGTCATGTTTCTGAGGCCCCCCCGTACCGCACTTGCAGATGTTGTGTACGCGTGCCCTGTTCTTGCTCCTTGCTCTTTCCAGGTCGGTTGGCTGTCTTGGCACCTGCTCCTTCCGTCACCTTTCCCCTCTTCCTGCTTCCCTCTTTTATTGCTGTCCGCGCGGGAACTGGCACTGCAGCACAGCAGCGTTTTGTGGTGTGAGGTCACCAAGACGCAGCCCAAGGGGGAGGACCTCACTCCGCTCCTTGCGGCGCCTCACGTGCTGCACGGCAGACCACGCTCGCTGGCGCCCGGCACCAGGCCACCCCACGGGAGTCAAGGGCTCTTTCGTAGGGCATGGCAGCAACCAGATCGTGACAGTATTTGGAACTCTTGTGCAGAATGTGGGCAGGTGTACAGGCTTGCTCTCGCGCGTTCTTTTATCCTCCCCCGTTCTGCGTGCGCGTTCTTTTATCCTCCCCCGTTCTGCGTCGATGAGATTTCGGTCGTTGCAGCAGACGTGCCCGTCTCGCACCCTATTTGAAGGCGTGGACAAGTAAGACTGCGCCGTGGCTCACCTTGCAGTCGCCACGGAACCCTGGATTACGTGTCCAGTCTTTCCAAGAGTGAGCAGTTTTTTCATTACATATGTGTAAGCTTGGAGGAGGCCACCCTTTGGCTTTGAGTCGGAAGCGAACCTGGCCAGCATAAGCGATCTTCTGGTGCCGTGTTCTGGCGAGACGATAGGGCATACTAAATCAGACCGTATTTGACAAGGATAATGGCCATGGTGGGGAGCAGGCCGACGAGGATGGGGGCAGCAGAGTTGGGTGTCGCAGAGAGCTGCGAAGGCTTCAGCCATTTTCTATCCGAAGCGCAGCCTCCTGGCCTGCGCGTTCAAGTCTTGACACACTTGAGCCGTTGATGCTGACCCGATCGGCTCGCTCATCCGTCGAACGACCAGGATCATGGCATTCGATCGGGTGCTTGATCAGCAGGTTGCCTCCCCCTTTGGGATGGGCCGGGCCAGGCTGGCCAGATGATCAGAAGCAGGATGAGGATAAAGCTCAGGATCGTGCCAGTGGATCGGCCTCCCGAGTGGGGAGTTGTGCTCCTTCTGCTTCCCTCTCCTCCGCCTTCCCACCCTCCTTCTCCTCCCCCTCTTTGTCCCCCTTCTCTGGACGTCGACCTGCGGCAAACATTGAGCCAGCCCTGCTCCCGTCTACCCGCTCCTTGCTTCCTCTGCCTCTGCTGCCCAGCCTCCTCGTCCTCCTCGTCCTCCTCCTCCTCTGCCTCCTCCTCCTCCACTTCCCTTCCTCCCCCTCTTCCTTTGCTCCTCCCCCTCCTCCTCCTCCTCCTCCTCCTCCTCCTCCTCCTCCTCCTCCTCCCCAGGTGGCTTGGCGGCGGGCGCCGCGGCATTCGGCCCCGCGGCGGGCGCCCGTGCTCCGCCGTGGCCCCCACAGCCCCGGGCCCTCGCCGGGCGCGCCCGCGGCCGCGGGCCTCCCGCGGCTGCTCCTCGGCGCCCTCCTTCGCCCTGGGCGGCCCGACGCGGGCCGCGCGCGGCCCGGCCCTCGGCGCGTGTGGAGAGCGCTCGCGGCCGCCCGCGCGGGGCATCGGAGGCCTCCGGCGTCGGAGGTTCCGCGGCGCGCGCCTCCTCTCTTCGGGGGGAGCAGGCCGATGATGAGAAGTTTCGGTCTGGTCCGGTTGCGACGCTAGCTCGCGCGCTAGAGCAGACTTGATCCAGACGCAGAATCAACACCTGGCGCAAGTAAGGCGCCCGTGACGGGGAGCAGGCTCCAGGGCAGCTGCTCTGTCACCGCGGGTCCAGGCCGCCCACGGGTTAGGGGCGGCAGTGGCAAGGACTACTCCTGAATCCGCTGATGGCCGTCGCTGGGCCTGTGTAGCCACTCTTTTTGATCCGCGGGTCGAGAGCGCACCTCTTCCGGTCGAAGCTACGCGGGCCGCGCACAGCTTTAAACCTGTGTGGCCACACGCCAATGCGGATGTGCCAAGAATTTTAAGTCGAATGAGCGGCGCCATATGTGTGGGCAGGACAGGCAAGGGTGTCCGGATCTATCAGGAGCCACCCTACCAGGACAGCAGCGCCGCGCACGATCCCCATCGGGTACACTTGAGCTTCTCCCAAACAAGGCGAGCGGGTGCCTGATGAAGTCGGCCTCACCACCAAGGCCCGCGGAACTCTACAGGCGCTACGTTGACTGCAACTGGGTGAAGATAGTGAGCTGGTCATCAGCGCCAAGAAGCAGCTGGCTGCAACTGAAGAGCGAGAGCGAGCAGGGCGCACACCAGACGATATGCTACGACGGGCCTTTGGCCGACATGCGGCGAAGCAGAAAGAGCGCGATGTGTTGGCACTTGCCGTCGGGAGTTTTCAAGAGGAGTTCACCACCAAGAGTGCGGAGCTCGAAGTAACCAAGAGTGAGCTGGCGGCTGTCAGCCTCGAGATTGGTACCCCTCGTTCAGCGGTCATGGCAGCTGGTAGCCACGACGTCACGTCTCACAGCTTGGACACAGCCTCCCAGAAGCTCCAGAGTGTGGTGGCCGCCGCGCCAGCAGCAGACACAACGGGCAGCGCGGTCATCGCGATGGCAGGTATTCAGGAACATGTCGGCGAGTCGCACCGAGCGCTCGAGAGCCACAAAGGAGTTGCAGCGCAGACGGGTTCCGCGGGCAAAGGGCTTGTGCCTGGTACGCCTTATCGCCCATGCGCTCCTTGGGATGCCCAGATTGCCAGAGGTCTCGATGAACTTATTGGTGCAGGTGGTGAGGCTGGCATGGACGCAGAAGGGGAAATGTGACAATCAGGCGATGACGTTCAGACAGTTTGGCTTCCGTATTTCTTGTCTCCCGCAGCGAGAGCCAAGCGAGAACCTCATTAAAGTGGAGCTGGGTGGTGGAGTAAGACCTGGGTTTTCTGGGCCTCTGCCCCAGCAGCCTACGATTGATCATGGCAATGGTGGTGTGACTTCTATCTGCAGTGCTGTATCTGGAATGGGCATGCGGGCTTCCCTACCCCACCAGCCAGCCATTCGGCACCAATTTCGGCCCGTCGTGCTCTGCACCAGGGTTATCTGAGGCTGAGACGGGCAATCCAGAATGCCCATCGCAGCCTCTGTCTCTCGGGGTCACCTGGGCCCGCTCTTTAGGTCTCTCGCATGGGCGTCAGGCTCTCTTTCATCCTGGCCTGGGCCTGCGGATGCACATGCTCGACCTACTGGGGGTGTGCATGGCGGAGAGCAGACCTCGAGGCGTCCGCGGAGACGAGCCCCCAAGGGAGCTGGCAAACGCAAGCTTGTCGCTGCCGCGTCCGACGCCAGTGGGTGGCCTCGCGCGCGTGCCGCACTGGACAACCCATCGCACATTGGCGTGGGCATGATCCAGGAGCTAGCTACGAGGTGATGCGTTTTTACGTGCGCAGGAGTTGGCGGCTCAGCGCGGGCGGAAGCCATCCCTTACTGAAGCGCACGAGGGTGAAGGAGGCGCGTCCAACAGCGGCGTTGGTATTCTCATCCGCTCGCATATGGGAGCCACGGTCCCTTCAGACATGTCCGACTCTCACGTGGCTGTGCTTGGATATTTCGTGCTGGTGCATGTGCGTGCGGGCCTTCGACAGGGCTTCCTTGCTGGGTCTATCTACCTCGAGCATGGCCGGAATCTAGCCGGGGGCAGTGCTACCACAGTGCGTCAGATGGGCAGCCTCTTGTCCTACTACCGGCTGCCATATGCCAATGTTTTTTTTTTTTTTTTTTTTTGGGGGGGGGTGTTAAAATTGGCCCAGGCCTACTTTGGCAGTCGAAGTTGCCCGAGAGGTTGAGAGGGGGTTTGCACCTGTTGCGGATGGTGCCTGCCGCGGCCCGACCAGTGGCATCTATTGCAATCTTCAGTATTGCCTGGCTAGCGATTTAGTAGCGAGCGACGTGCTCACCCCGCATCGGATCGCAGAATTTCTCTCGCGCAATCATCGTGCCATCCAGGTCGCGCTTCTCGGTGCTGTCCGCTCCAAGGCCGTTGTGGTCTTCCAGGGCCCCTGGCCTTTCCCGTGCGCTCTTGGCGCCGAGGTGCGCGAGGATGTAGAGGGCGACGATGGGAAGGCTGTCTTCGGCCGAGACCGTGGTGCACCGCGGGGGCGGAGCTGATGGGGCGAGATGCCGAGCAGCGGCGTGGTTCGCACCGTGGGCATGAAGCGCGCCTCACGCACCTATGCTCCGCTTTATTTCAAGGGGTCGAGGCTGAGCTTCCTCCCTCTTCTAACGTCGATTGCGGGGCGCGCCGCGCATGCCGTGGGCGTGCCTCTGGTCCGGAGTATTGCCAGTCAGCCTCAGGCGGTGCCCTGGCGCGCTACCGCCATGCAGGCGCGCAGTGCGCGCGTGCTCTACTGCTGCAGTTACGTGGCAGCTCGTGTTACGCGCGCATGGCAGCATCTGTGCGATTTCACGGCAGGCACGAGGCGTGGATCACATTTGCGCACTCACGTTTTTCCATGCTGTGTGTGAGATTGTCTTTTTCATTGCTCAGCGGGCGCGCGTGCAGCCGGATGGCCACAGGGCAATATCTACCACGATTTGTCGGGGACTACCTAGGTATATTGGTGCAGGTGGAGGAACGACGACTCGCTTTAGCTCGCTCCATGTCTTTCGTGCCATGGCTGCGTAGGCAGCTGGCGACGCAGCCTGGGCCAGTTCACCGGTGGGTCAAGCCTCGCGGATGGAGCCCGTCCCAAGTTGATTCCAGCACGGGGCCGTCAAGTTTTCTTAGGGGATGTCGTTGAGTCGCAGCGTGGGTCCTGGGCCGGAGTCTAGGTTTGGGTCGACCAGGAACCTCAGGAGCATGTTGGCAGTATCCATGACGGACGGTGTCCAGATGAGCTGGTGGCCGACAAGTGGCGCATCTCTGAGGCTGGTCCAGGTTGCCCCCCTAAGAATCAGCGGCTTGAAGGTCGCGGTCCCGCAATTCCCTAGACGCGCGGCCGTTGGAGCGGATCGCCTTCGGCCGCGTCGCTGGGCATTGGCGCCCAGTGCTACCCACTCGAAGTTGGGGTGCACCTACCGTGCATCTGCGAGGTATTTGTGACTTGGCCAGGTTCGAGCATGTGCACATAGTCTTGCTTTTGAAGCCAGCTGGTGGGTACCGACCTATCGCCTCTTTACCTTCCATTTGTCGTGTCTGGGCGAAGGCAAGGGTCAATTGGGTCCGAGTTTGGGCTCCGAGCTGAATCGGGACTTCCCGGCCATGGGAGCGCAAAAATCAACCGCGGACGTTGCGGCCAGAGTCTTAGTTAAAGCAGGGGCTGGTGGCTGTCGAGGCCTGCGTGATCATGCGACAGTGCGCGCCGTAGTTGACATCGCCAAGTGCTTCGATAAGGTTTCCTGGGCAACGCTCATGAGAGCTGTGAGTTCTCATGGTTCCCCTGGGTCCCTCGCAGTGCTGGCTTTGCGAATGTGCATGGGTGCCAGGATATTGGTTTGGGCATAACTGTGTCTCGTCAGTTCTCTGGGCTAAGCGCGGGGTCCTGCCAGTTAGCGCCTCTGCGATGTATGCATTGCAGTGCCTCGTGCTCTCGCTTTTCGACGCTATGTATAAGCGCGCCGACGCCGTCGCGCGTGCGATTGACCTGTGCGTAGATGACACCACCATCACCATCATTGGTCAGGTCAGGGGTATCCCCGCACGGGCTCTCAAGTTCCTCCGCGTCCTGGTGAGTGTCCGGGATGCCTTGACCCCCTTCGGCTAAGCATGAGATGAAGGTTGCGACGCTCGGGGTATGTCTACTGTGGCGCCCTGGTGGTTCTTGGAGTCGAAGTGGGATCTGGGAGGCCTGATGTTCACCGCCCTTGGGGCTGGCGTGCGGGCGACCGCCGGGCGTGTGCCCCGACTTCGAGCTGCGCGCAAGGTGGGCTCTCGCGTCTGCCAGTTTGTGAGGCAGGCGCTACCTTCTGCCGTGGCTTGCGCTGTATCTGTCCATGGCGCTCCGCCGCAGGTCGTTGCAGTGATGGGAAAGAGTATTCGTCGGGCCCGTCGCGCGATAGGCTGTGCGACGTCGTCCTGGGTGACAGCCTGTTTCCAGGGAAGCTTGTGTGCCGACCCGCAGGTGGACGCATTTGCCGCGCCTGTGTACCAATGGGCTTTGTAATATCGCGATCGGGCCGTTCCTGAAGGGGTCCTCGAAGGGGCTTGGCAGCGGTGGATTCATCATGTACTTCGGGCTCCAAGGCCGTGGGCGCAGGTATCGGGCTCCGCTGGGGCCACGCTGCTAGCGCTCAGGGGCCTCGAGTGGGGCGCATGTGCGGGGCGCGTGTTCAGGGCCGACTTATGTGACGTGTTGGACCTCAGGAAGGATGCCCCCTTTTCCACTGTTCTCTCTCTCGCTCGTGATGCGGCTGTGCGTAGGTCGTGGGAAAGGTGGGCCTCGCGGCCCAATGGGTCCTCGGAGCCCATGATGTCAAATAAGCCTCTCGGGTGTTGGATTGAGCCTATCCCAGAGATCCTCGCGAAGGCCCCCCCTATTGAGGAGCCCGATGGGGGCCCGATGGGCTCTGAGCGTGGTCCCGATGGCCCTCCCCCTCCTGACCATGATGGTGGTGCTGCCAGCCAGTGCTAGCCAAACCATAATGCAGCAGGTCTTTTGCGATCCATCGTTGCTGGAGGCACGGGTGCGCGCGCACGTCTCCTACATGATGGATATTGTGACGCTGCGCCGTGCCCGTTCTGTGGACGTGACCCTTGCGCGAGTCATAGCGTGATGTGGGAGTGTGCACGTGTCGGTAGAGAACGGCAGCATCATTTTCAAGACGCGGACCTGCGTGGGTTCCCTGAGCGAGAACCAGAGTCTTGGATGTGGAACCGTGGGCTCGCTGGTAGATCTTGCCCCCCGCCGCCCCCGCGCTATGACAAGACGGGCAGGTGGCGTGTGCAGTGTGGGCAACCGCGCGGCATCACAGGTCGTATGTGCACTGATGGGGCTTGTCGGGGTATGTGGTGCTGGCCTGGGGGCTCTCGTGCGGGGCGGAGGTTCGCCCAGCTTCGGCCTCGGGGGGTAGGTATCAACGCTGTAGTTTTTGGAGCGCTCTCAGGGCCCATCCAGTGCCCCCCCCCCCCCCCTACCACCCCCCCTAGAGCTGACGTGTGTGCCCTTCTGCAGGTCTTGGCGGTGTGCTTCCCGCCTGTGGTAAAATGCGCTGATTTTAAGGGCCTCGTTGATGGGCTCAGCCTCGGGCCCAAGTGATGTGTTACCCCCCCGCCGTTGTAATCTGGATCTTTGGGGTGACCTCGGATGCCTCCATGCGACTCCCAGGGTAGAGCTCGTCAGGGGCCACCGACGAGGTGCTGGCGATGCCGCTTTTGGCAGTTTGTGGGCGGATCTCAGGGCCGCGAAGGGTCGCGACCGCCATTGTGCCTCGAGAGGCGTTCGGAAGGTCGTGAGTATAGCTCGCGCTAGTTTCCGCGCGCCCCCGCTGGATGGTGAAGGCCGAGGCCCTCTTTTTTGGGCGGCGGGTAGATATGTCGCCGGGCCTCGCGCCACGAGGAGGACCTGCCGCCCCCGACAGAGTGAAGCTCGTGAGCATGAGGGAGTTCGCAAGCTGAGGCATGTTTTCGAGCGGGTCACCCACCGAGTCGCGCCGTTGCTTTTTCTTGCAGGGAGAGTGCGAATACCGCGAAGAGCATCGATCGGCTCTCCGTCCTCGCGTGTCCTGCGCGTGCTCGCGCGGCTGCCGCGAGGGCGTTGCGTGGGCCTGGCCAGCCGCTGAACTGGATAATGGGGGCCGCTCGTCTGTGGCGCCTCTCCCTGACGTTGCTGGATGAGTTGTTAAGCCATCCCAACTGTCCTCTCCCTCGGTCGCTCATGAGGGCGCGGCTGCAGGGGGATCCCTGGCTCGCAGCGGGGCCAGGTGTGGCGCGGGTGTTGGGGCGGGGGCTGGTCCGTCCCAAGCGGCTGGCGCGTGCGATGTTGGGTGTTCCCCTCGCCCCTGACGTCTCCGACCTTCGTCGCGCTACGTGCCGACCTCGCGAGCTCGGTTCGTCGCCTGAGTCTGGAGATGGACTTGCGCGCTCTGTCCGAAGACACGTTCAGTTTGATCCCATGGTGTGCACTCGTGCGCATGATGCCGCCGATCTCCAGCAGGCCGCGCATGGAGGTCACGCCCCCGAGCGTGCGGGGCCAGCTTTCCAGCCAGCTAAGAGGCGTAGGGTTGCGGTGCGCAACCCTCGGCCCTCTCTCAGTCCCATCGCCGTGCCAGCCCAGAGTGTGCCTGACAGTGGGGTCGTCCCCCCTGGAGCTGTCCCTGGCCACCGATGCTGGGTGTTACCAGGACGTGTCGTGTTGCGCGTGCGTTTTTTTTTTTTTTTTTTTTTTTTTTTTTTTTTTGTCCACGGGCACTGCTGGTCACCTCCTACTTGACTGCCAGCCTGTGGATTTCAGCAGAATGTTTGAACGTGCTGTGGGGAATCGTAAGTTGTCCCTGGAAGGTCGGCACCATGCCTAGACCCAGGCCGCGGATCCTGTGGACGCTCCATGCCTAGGCCTAGGCCCAGGCCTCTCGAGGCCACGGGGCCCGAAACGCTCTGGTTCCGCCTCGCGGCCGCTGGCGGCCGTGAGACCTCGGACCCCTCGTGTGTTCTTTTTTTCTTTTTTTGGTACCCTGGGACCACCCGTCCTGGGCCATTCCATATTCATATGGCGATCGGCGCAGGTGCGAGAGAGGTGCGCTCCGCGCACCCCGCACCTTTTTTTTCTGTCGCGAATGGTCGCTATTATCTTCCTTATTTTCTGTCTTTTTTGATTAAAAATACAATAAACATGAAACAACAAATTTATAGTATTAGTACTAGTCAAATTTTTATTGGTATTATTATTATTGGTATTATTAGTATTAGTCTTATTATTATTATTGTTTTTTCTTATTTATTTATGTATTTATTTATTTATTTATTTATTTATTTGTTTATATTATTATTATTATTATTTTCATTGTTATATATATATATATATATATATATAGATCCGTATAGCTATGCTGGATCAGGGACGCTCCCCGTGATCCGCTGGTTGGGGAGTGCCTCGCTGACAAATCCCTGGGAGGGGCTCCCGCCCTTCCTCTTCTAATGTGCCCGCTAGGCGCCCAGTTGGAGCGCGGCGGTGGCCAGCCAGACCCGTATCCTCCTTTCTTCGCCTCCTCCTCGCTCCTCCTCCTCGCTCCCCATCCTCCTCCTCCCCCCCCTCCTCCTCCTCCTCCTCCTCCTCCTCCTCCTCCTCCTCCTCCTCCTCCTCCTCCTCCTCCTCATCCTCATCCGCCTGGCGTAAAATCGCTTCGCCCGCGGACCGCTTCGCCCTGAACCGTTTCGCCCGTCGTCGTTTCTTCTCGTGATCGTCGCTGGTCGTCGTCGTCGTCGTCGTCGTCGTTTTCGTCGTCGTCGTCGTCGTCGTCGTCGTCGTCGTCGTCGTCGTCGTCGTCGTCGTCGTCGCCGCCGCCGCCGCCGCCGCCGCCGCCGCCGCCGCCGCCGCCGCCGCCGCCGCCGCCGCCGCTCGTCGTTGCTGATCGTGACCCGCATCGCTCGTTTGCTTGCAAGCCCGCCTGTCCGCTTTGATGTCCCGCCCGCCCGACCTGCCTGTTAGGGTTCCGCTCGCCGGACCCGCCCTTTGGGTTTGCACGCTCGTTTGCCTCGAAGCTTGCCTGCCCGCTTCCATGTCCTGCCTTCCCGACCCGCCCGTTGCTTTCCGCCCGCCTGTCGGGCTCCGCTCGCTCGTTTACTTGCAGGCCCGCCCGTCCGACCTGCCCATTAGGGCCCGCCCGCCCGACCCGCTCATTAGGGCCCGCCCGCCCGACCTGCCTGTTGGGGTCCGCCCGCCCTGCGAAGCGGTCTGCCGGCGAATCGGTCCACCGGCGAAACGGTTCCCCAGCGAAACGGTTCCCCAGCGAAGCCGTCCGCCGGCGAAGCGGTGCCGTGGTCCTCCTCCGCCCTTCCACCCCTCCGCCCCTCCACCTCCCCCACGTCGAGGATCCTTGTTTGCCCCGATCCCGTGGTTCTGTGGGCGCGATCTCGGCCGCCCCCCCCAGGTTCGAGGTGCTCGAAGGGCCAAAACGCACCGAGGTGGAGTTCAGGCGGCTCCCGGGGAGGGGGGAGGCTGTGAGACGGAGCGGGTAGGATGGAGGAGGAGGAGGAGGTGGAGGAGGAGGAGGAGGAGGTGGAGGAGGAGGAGGAGGAGGAGGCGGAGGAGGAGGAGGAGGAGGAGGAGGAGGAGGAGGAGGAGGAGGAGGAGGAGGAGGCGGGGGGTGTTGCAAAATTCTGAGGCACATGCGCGCGGCGCTAAGGCTAGAACCGCATTCTTACAAGGAGCTGCCATCCACCCTTGAAGCCTGGTGCAAGTTTTTAAGGCGAGTGTGCGCGGCGCGAAGGGCGAGAGCCACAATTTGGAAAGGAACCGCCCTACTTGTTTGAAGCCGGTGGAAACTTCCAAGACGAATGGGCGGTAATGACATTTTGAAAGCTGCCCACCCTCCCTCCTTGAAATTGTTGCAACCTTTTAAGAGGGATGTGCGCGGCATTGAGGCGAGAACGACATACATGCGGTTAATGCAGTTGGCCAGCTCTGCGTCCATAGAACTGTTGCAGATGCCAAGAGGCAGTTTCAGGGGAAATTGCCGGCCCGCCCTACCGACAACACGTCTGGGGGTGCAACAGGGAGGAGTTGTTTTTTTGATATGGAGGATGCAGCAAGGAGGAGGAGGAGAAGGAGGAGGAGGAGGAGGAGGAGGATGTGCGGCCAAGGGCGAGGAGCGAGGAGGATGAGGAGCAAGGAGGAAAAGGAGGGTCTGCGGCGAGGAGCAGGAGGATGCGGATGAGGAGGAACATAAGCAGCACCACAACTCTCAGAGGAGGAGGAGGAGGAGGAGGAGGAGGAGGAGGAGGAGGAGGGAGGGAGTTTGGATTGATAAAGAAGGATGGACAGTAGGGTACAACGAAGGACTGGAGACAATGGTCTGTGATTGTCCCGGGGCCATGCGCCCTTTGGTTGGGATAGCACGGCTGGGGGGCCTGGATGCTTCCACGGGGCAAGGGCGCGCTAGTGCACGCGTTCTTGACCGCAGCAGGCCGTCTCGTATGCCTTTTTCTCGTTCCCCCCTCCTTCCCCCTCTCCTCCCCAAGATCTTCCGTTGGGGTCCTGGCCTTAAGTCGGGCGTGTCCCTCTACAGGAGGCATATTGAAAAGCAGTTAAAACATAGTAGGGGGACGATTTTCCTGGCATATATTTGAATATTTTTGAGTCTTTTTGATGGTATATGTTGGAATATTTTTGAATATTTTTGATTATTTTTTTCGCCCCAAATCCGCCTGTAGGGGGACATGCCCGACCTGACACTGGCCCTCCCGTTGTGGCGGCTCGGCTGCCCGCCCTGCGGCCTCCTCCTCCCCTCTCGCTCCGAGCCTCCTCCGTACTCCGTTGCTTCTTCCTGCCCTCTGCTCCCTTCTGCCTCCTCCTCCTCCTCCTCCTCCTCCTCCTCCTCCTCCTCCTCCCTCTCCTCCTCCTCTTCCCTCCTCCTCCTCTTCCTCCTCCTCCTCCTCCTCCTCCTCCTCTCTCTCCTCCTCCTCCTTCCTCCTCCTCCTCCCCCCCCTCCCCCTCCTCCTCCTCCTCCTCCTCCTCCTCCTCGCTCCCCCTCCCCCTCCTCCTCCTCCTCCTCTTCTTCTCCGCCTACTCCTCCTTGTCCTTGGTTGTGGAGCCTCTGATGCCGGATTCGGTGAGCTCAGCGTCGGATCCGACCCGCGCCGGTGTCGGCGGACGCCAGCGGAGGGGGGGCAGTCTGCCGTGTGCGTGGGCTTTGCCTGCGCAGTCCACCTGTCACCTGCGGCCGGCCTACCGCTGAGTGATGCTGCAGCGGCACTGGGTCAGCATTGTGGGTTGATGTGCCGCTGTGGCGCAGTTCATCGGACGCAAGACACTTGGCTCCCTACCCACTGATTCGTTGCCTGGCAATCGGCCCGTGCGATCCCCTTGTACGTGATCCAAATTAGGGATTCTCTTGCTTCCGAAGCAGTGCATTACAATGACAGGTAATCCAAGTCAGTGGGATGCAAGCCAGAGCAACATGATGCACTATAGTGCAAAGCAACGCAAAGCTATGCGAATCACTTCAAATCGATGCAAGCTTATGCCACACACAGACCAGCGCAGTGTGATCCAGCATGGTAATCAATGCAACTTAGGGCAACTTGATTCCACTGCACGCCATGCAAAGCCATGCAACACCACGCACAGCACTACGCAATGCAAAGCCAAGCAACGCAAATTAATGCGACGCAGTGGGATCCAGTGCAAAGCAAAGCAAGTCGCGAGAAGCAATTCCACGTCAAACAGAGCAATACGATGCAATGGCAAGCAGCGCAAGGTGAAGCCAAAGGCACGGCCAGGGATCCACCGGCGCCCTGGGCCAACCCTGGGCGCCCTGGGCCAGCCCCAGGCGAGCCTGGGGACCGAGGGCTGGGACAGCCATGACCCCCCATGGCGCGTCGGCTGGCAGTGACAGCCGTGAGGACGCCTGCGCGGATGTCCCATTCCCAACGTACGAGAGCCGCGCGCTTACGGAGCACAGGCGCTGCTGCCCTGTCGCACGCTGAGCGCGCGTGGAGGATCCCTGGTGACTTGCCATCCCCCCGACGCTGGCGTGCCGGGCCGTCGACGCGCGTGGAGCGCCAGCTCTTTCCCTCCGAGCAGACCAGGGGCACCTCATCTCCCAGCAGCATCCTCCTCCTCCGCTTCCTCCGCCTCCTCATCCTCCTCCTCCCCCTCCTCCTCCTCCTCCTCCTCCTCCTCCTCCTCCTCCTCCTCCTCCTCCTCCTCCTCCTCCTCCTCCCCCTCCCCCTCCTGCTCCTCGCCGGGAGAGAAGGAGAGGCGAAGGGAGCGAAGCGGAGGGCGGATCCAGCCGCGAGGTGTTTCGGCAAGGAGCAGGACGGCAGCATCCTCTTGAGCTTCCTCGTGGGCGGCAGCCCCATCATGGTCAGCGTTCCAGACCCGGAGCTGGGCGCCGGCCCGCAGGCTCCGCGCGCTCCACGGGAAGCCGTAGTCGACGGCGAAGACCAAGACGAAGACGATGACGACGAGCGAGGATGAGCCGGCCTGCGAGCCTTCGGCTGGGTTGTGGCACGTCTTGTCGCCCTGCTCGCAGGTCCACCGCCTGAGCGCCGCGCACGCCGTGCCACTGGTCGGGCGGGGCGGCGGTTCGCCTTCGTCCCCTTCCTCTCCCCATCCCTTCCCTCTCCCCCTCCCCCTCCCCCTCCTCTGCTCTTCTCTTGCTCACGCCCCCCGGCCACGTCCACCCTCTCTCTCCCTCTCTCACTTTTCCCATCGACGCAGACCCACACACTGCTATTGTCTGGCCCCTCTCTGGGAGAAGACCCCCCCGATGAGTGCAGGACCTGTCCTGACTGCTCTCGGCCCTGCGGGCTATTCTGAGTAGATCCTGAGGTCATCCTGTGGTTGGCCCACGACTGCAGCGACGACCTCCTGCAGCCCAGCTCGAGACCCGCCCAGCCCAACCCCGATGATGACCTGCCCTTGGTGAGCACACGTATTGGGGCGCCGGCAGAGACTTCGACCGATTGAAGTCACACTGGGACTGCCGTGGTCGGCGTTTTGGGGGACACGCGCGCCGATCTCGGCCTGACCTGGGGCCCCGTAGGGTCCCCGAAGCCCTCGTGTTCTCCGCTCTCGCTCCTGCGAGCAGCGCCGACGTCGAGACGTGTTGCCCGCGCGCATGCATACATCCACACGCTCGTCTATACGCATGCAGTCGTACATGCACGTGCGCACTCATACACTCAAACACATACACAGACGTGCATGCTCACGTACACATATACACTCACATGTCCACATGCGTACAACGGTGCATACATCCAGGCACACATACATACACATGTTGGACAGTGTGGACCCCAACCAGGGTGTTCCTAGCAGTTTATGGTATGCAATCTATGTTATGTACAACGTGTATTGCACTTTATGTGGTTCAATGTACGTTGTGCAATCTATGTGGTGCAATCTATGGGGGTCAACATATGTTGTGCAAGTTATGTGGAGCAGTCTAAGTGGTGCAATCTATGCAGTGCAACGTGTTGTGCAATATGGGTGGTGCATTCTGGGTAGTGCAATTTATGTGGCGCAATCTGTGTTGTGCAGTGAATGTGGCGCAATCCATCTTGTGCAAACAACTTGGTGCAACATATGCCGTTAAATATGTGTTGTGCAAGCTATGTAGTGCACTCAATGTGGTGCACACCTTGTTGTGCACTTGATTTTTTTCGCAGTGAGTTGTGAACTTCACTGCTCGCGCAACCATCCCATGCAACGGTTTTGAAGTACCAATGCAACCGACGTTTTATTATAACATCTTTCGGCATGCGCGCGGCGACGCGCGCGTGTTCACTTCGTCTTTTTTTGCAGGATTATTGCGACAGCACGCGCGCCAGGACGTTCGACAGTTTCGACATGCGCGCGAGAGGCACGTCTTTAGCATTTTATGAACACGTTCAAGAACCTATGCTATGTTTGTTTTTGTACTTTCCAAAAAACAACAATTGGCAAGAGCGTTGGCGCAGGTTTCTTTGCTGAGAACTCTTGTTGCAAAACCAAGTGTTTTGATTTGTTTTCGGGACTCTCGATTTTAACATCCCTCGCTGCGACATGTAATTTTCATAAGGATGTCGGCGTGCGCGCGCGACGACGCGCGCGTGTGCAGTTCGTCCCGTTTATTATTTCTTTTCAAGGGTTTTTTCGAAACTGATGATTCTTGATAAACGACTGTGCGCGCACAGTTTTTCTGCAGAGGAGGAATGGGGGATTACCGGCATGCTCGGGATGGTACTCGCTCAAATTCTAGACGCTTCGCGTATCCCCACCAGCCCGTCCAGAAATGAGCCCCAGGGGAGTGGAGGTGATGAGGGAAGCGGGGGAGCATGCAGAAGAACAAAGAGCGAGTTGAGCCGCCATACGCCCCAAGAGGGGGAGGATGTAGGAGGAGTCGTCGTCGTCGGAGTAGGAGGAGGAAGACGAGGAGCAGGAGGAGGAGCAGGAGGAGGAAGAGGAGGAGAGGGACGAGGAGGAGGAGGAGGAAGGAAAGGAGGAGGATGAGGAGGAGGACGGAGGAGGAGGAGGAGGAGGAGGAGGAGGAGGAAAAGGAGGGATGCAGGAGGAGTAGGAGGATGGGAAGGAGGATGAGGAAATGAAAGGGAGTGGAGGTCATGAGGGAAGCGGGGGGGCATGCAGAAGAACAAAGGGCGGGGTGAGCCGCCATATACCCCAAGAGGGGGAGGATGTAGGAGGAGCCGTCGTCGTCGGAGTAGGAGGAGGAAGAGGAGGAGCAGGAGGAGGAGCAGGAGGAGGAGGGGGAGGAGGAGGAGGAGGAAGATAAGGAGGAGGAGATGGAGGACTGCGAGGACGAGGAGGACGAGAAGGAGGAAAAGGAGAAGCAGGAGAAGGAGGAGGAGGAGGAGGAGGGGGAGGGGGAGGAGGGAGGAGGGAGGAGGAGGAGGAAAATAAGGAGGAGGAGATGGAGGACTGCGAGGACGAGGAGGACGAGAAGGAGGAAAAGGAGAAGGAGGAGGAGGAGGAGGAGGAGGAGGGGGAGGGGGAGGAGGGAGGAGGGGGAGGAGGGAGGAGGAAGAAAAAGAGGAGGAGGAGGAGGACAATGGCGAGCTTGGGGGCCTCTTGGGCCGTCTTTGGGGCCTCTTGGCGGTCCCGGGGGCCTCTTGCGTATCTCGGGGAGCCTCTTGCGGCCTCTTGGGGGTCTCTTGGGGGCCTCTTGGAGGCCTCTTGGGAGCCTTTTGGGGCCTCTTGGGGCCCTCTTGGGACGCTCTTGGGGCGCTCTTGGGAGCCTTCGAGGCGCTCTTGGGGCCATCTTGGAGGAGATCTATCAAAGAAGGGGGGGTCCCCAATTAGCGCTGCAAGTTGTCCACTCCACTGCTCGCGCAAACATCCCACCCACCCACCCGCAAGTTAGTTTGCAAACCCCATGCGGAAGCGATTGAGATGAGTGCTTAGTGTTGGCTGGGGGATTTCTGCGGCCGCGTTAGCCTTCGCATTCTCGCGCGCGCAGCGGCCAGCTAGTTTGGCACGACCGACGCGAACGCGGTGGCGCTGACCGCTCGGCACATCCCAGCGGGCACTGCAGTGACGAGTCGGCGACCTTGGCGGGCGCGGTATCATGGCAACGTCGACAACGGTAGACACGATGATGATCGTAGCGATGCTGGTGACGATGCTGACAGCAACGGCGGGGCAGCCAGTGACGGCGCCGATGCTGATCACGCCGGCGACGATGACGGCGTCTTCGCGTCGGTGATGAAGGTTTTGGAAAGGGGTTCGAAATAGGCGCGCGGCCGACGCGCGAGAGTGGCCCGCATGATATGATTTGACACGGATCGTGCCACGCCAGCACGCGCGCAAGGGCGTTCGAACGATTTCGAGGTGCGCGCGCGCGAAGCCCGTTAGGCAGTATGTTATGGCACTCTTGAACAACAAATGTGTTTCTTACAAATTCGCAAGAGCGCGCAAGTTTTTTGTTGAAAACCCGTGTTGCGAAGCCATGTGTTTTTTGTATGTTTTTTGACACTCGATTTTGCATTCCTCTCGAAACCGACGGTTTTAGAAAAACGTCGGCATGCGCGCGTGCGACGACGCGCGCGTGTGCACTTGGGTTCATTTGTTGCGAGGGATTTATAGAATGCTCGTTTTTGATAAGCGAGTGTGCGCGCGTAGTGTTTTTGCAGTGGATGGCGGGGGGGGGGGGTCGATACCGGCTGGGCTGGGATTCTACGAATTCATATTTAGGATGGACGATGGGGCATAATCATATGTAGTTTACAACACAAACAGGTGTACCGATAAACCCGGGGAGGTCCGAATTCTTGTGTAAAAAGGAGAATTGATTGTTACAAGCGAGTTGACAAACCAATTCCGTGCTCTTGCAACCAGTCCACCCGCCCACCGCAATTTGGTTTGCAAAACCCATGCGGCGGCGATCGCGATGAGTGCTTTGCGTTGGCTGGTGCATCTCCGCGGCCGCGCTAGCCCGCGCGTGCTCGCGCGCGCAGCGGCCAGCTGGTTTGGCGCACTGGCGCGACCGCGGTGGTGCTGACCGCTGGGCACTTCCCAGCGGGCTCTTCAGCGCGAGTCAGTGACCTGGGCGGGCGCGATATCATGCCGACGCCGACGACGGTGCGTGCGATTCTGAAAGTAGCGATGATAGTGACGATAGTGGCGATGACGATGGCAGGGCCAATGACGGCGCCCATGTTGATCGCGCCCGCCGATAACGATGGCGATGTCCTCGCGTCGGCGAGAGGGGGTTTTTGATGGAGTTCGACATGCGTGCGCGGCCGACGTGCGCGAGTGGCTCACGCGGTAGTATTTGACGCGGATCGTGCCCTCCCAGCGCGCGCGCAGGGGCGTTCGAATGAGTTCGAGATGCGGCTCTAGAGGCCCGCTTGGCAGAGTTTGATGGGCATGTTGAAAAGCCGATGGTTTCCGTGAGAATCCGCAAGGCCGCGAGCGCAGGCTTCTTTGAAGGCTGATTTTGAAAAGCCATGTGTTTTGTGCTTTCGGGACACTCGATTTTGAACTCCCTGCGGGATCCGAGGTTTGAGAAGGATTTCGGCGCGCGCGCGACGACGCGCGCGTGTGCACTTCGACGCATCTTTTATTTAGGGTTTTTGAAAACTGATGGTTTTTGATAAACGAGTGTTCGTGCATGATTCCCCAATCAGTGCTTGCAGTGAAGGGGTCCTGGCGGAGGTTGAAGGATTCGGCGAAAGTTTGCCGCCGATTTCGGTCGCGCGGTGGATTCCCGGGTTCTCGGTTCCGGGTTCCCGGGTTTCTGGTTCCCGGGCCGATTTCGGTGGGCGGCGAGGTTCCCAGGTTCCCGGGTTCCTGGTCGGTTTTGTTATCGATCGGTCTTGGCGTCGATCTCATTTCCCACCTCTCTGTCGATCTCACCATCGATCTCGCACTCGATCCCACAGTCGATCTCGCAAGCGATC